TTTTTTTTTTTTACCTTTTAAAAAAAAAAAAAAAAAAAAACTAACTAGAAGGAAATACACACTTAGGAAGAACACATTTTTTAAATAAGCTTCAAATTTCTGCTTTTATCAGCTAAATTACTATTCATATTTATCAGCTATCTCTTTTATAATATAAGAATGTCTACATTTAAGAGGTCTTGCCTAGAAATTAGCTATTTTTAGACAAGAGTTACTTCTAGTTGTTTGATGAATGCTGGCTTACTTACGTTCATCTCGCTGGTCATTCACAGTATTTGAATGTTTCTCAGTTTCTCGTTCAGAATCTGACTCTGGTTGTCCAGCTATTTCTGAAAGACCTATAAAACAAAAAAGCATCAAGCAATAAAGCAAAGCAATCCTTTAATGCAGTTTAATAATACAAATATTTAAAAAACACTACAATTGGAAAAAATAACCTAATAAGGCTACTATCTAAACATATAAAAATACTGTAGAGGAGAACCCGTACGATTCATATTTTCAACCATGTTTTCTACTCCGGGAACTACAGAGATTCTTGAATTTGAGATAGAATAATCAGCAACCGTTGTTCGTGATGGCGATAAAGTAGTCAGAAGGTCTGGACAAATGGCAAGTTAGATCATAATTTAGTTCTAGTCAATTCTCTACTTTCTGTATAGCAGCCAAATATTCTGTGACAATTTGGTGAGTTAAGTTCTGTTCAAAACGATATATACACTTCAGGTCAATTCTGTGCCAAACTTTTAGTGCAAGCTTTCGTTTCTTTCGAAGAATTAGACTTGAAAAATATGTTAAATAAGTATCTAACAACAAAAAAAACTAACGTAGTATTTAATTAAGTCTTTTAATTAGCTGTTTTGGTTGCAAAATTTGTGAAACTAATGCTAAAATGAGACTGGAAGGAAACGAATCAAATTAGTTGTCAATAAAGAAACTTTCTCTAATAACTGATCCCGAATAAGAAATAACGGCAAAATATCAGTTTGTAAAATAGACTTTGATAATGACAGGATTAAAGTTAAAATAACAGTTCTTTATTTGTTGTCGTTTACTGTTAAACTGTTATAAAGCTAAAAGCAGAAAAGTGGTTGTAATGACAAAATTGAAAATTTAAAATTTTTAGGTTTTCAAACAGTTGAAATTCTGATTTTTCGACTCAGATGTTTGTAATAATGTATCTGAAAAGTAATATTTTAAAAGTAATAATTAGAAGAAATATTAACACAAAGAATAAAAAGATTACTAAAGAAATACACAGAAACAAATCATCATTAAATGTACCACTCAAAAAAATATGTTTTTACTCTTCAAATTACTCTACAAAATTCCAGCGAAAAATTTCTACGTCTAAAATTCAACTTCTGAAAATTTTTGAATGGTATTAAGGTACTTTTAAATCTTTTAAAAATTAGCACTTTATCGTTGCAAAAGCAAAAAAAAAAAAAAAAAAACGCTGTCAAAACGAATTGATTAACAGTAGGAAATAACAGAATAAAAATCATCAAAGAATTATCTATAATTTTTCTGTTTTAAAATATTTTTTGTATCGTAAGTTTTTATTTAGCAATTTAATCAGAAGAGAATTATTAACCTAAATTATTGTTCTAAATAAATGTTGTCTTGAAAATGCTTTTTTTTTTTTAAATTTATACTTGCTATTTTTGCAAATAAAATTCATAATTGTTATTTATACCATAATTGTCGGGTGCCACTGGAGGATCATTTCTAAATACAGCTTGTATTGGCTGTGAGTTCCAACCACTATATGCTCGCTGATATCCTCGTACCAAATCACCGTTCTTAAAAGAAAAGAAGGAAAACTGCAAACGCCTTGCTGATAATTGATTAATTTTATAGAAAAGAATAAGAAAATATTAAGCAATAGAAGATTAAAGACAGATTTGCTAGATAAAAATTGAGCTTTTGTTCTCAAAAGTATTCTACATCTGGAAAGAAAGAAACAAGTAAGTAGAGAAGAAATTTTCTTTACAGGTAGCAGTAGTATTTCACAAAAGGTGTTCTTGTGAAATTCCTAAGAAACAGTGTTTTATAAAAGAAAAAAAACATTGAAATTCTGTAAAAAAAAGAAAAAAAAAGAAAAACAGAAAAACAGTTGTACAAACTTCAACTGGATTCATGATTCCAGGATACTCTACGCGGAAATGTGAATAACGATCTCTGTTGTTACGGTCTTCAGCCATTCCTCCAATAGGACCCAGAGATTTTGAATAGTAACTCATAAATGGTTGTTTATAATCACTATAGGGATACTTCATGTAGCCACTGTAGCGGACATAGTATGGATTTTTTTGCTGATAAAATTCAGTGGCCATTACTGAAATACTAAACTGGCACTAAAACTTCAGCAGTAATTGATCAAACATCAGCAGCCTTTCATTTCGTCAATAAACTTCAAAAGCAGTATTACTTTATGGTAATTTTAGAAGAGCTACAGTCAAAATTTTCAGAATCAGAATTTTATTCAAATTTTATACTGTCAAGTGTCTGCAAAATTTTTCTCTGTTGTTAAAAATGCTAGTTTCTAGATTGAAGACATAGAAATTTGTAAATAATAATAGAAAATAACCAAAAAATAAATGATTAGCAAAAT